GCTTTGAGCAACCTGGTCTAATGGAAGATGTCCCTGCCCATGGCAGGGGGGTTGGAACTAGGTGATCTTTAAGGTCCCTTCCAACCCAAACCACTCTATGATTCACCTATACACATAACCTAACAAATATTAGTCACAAATGTTAATGTCGGGTAAAGCAAATCGCATTTGTCCCCTCGAGGGTGTGGTGCTGGTCTAGTTTGCATCATCAGAAAAGCACATCTGTATGTGGTAATGAGATTTATTGTGCAGGGAAAGTCTGGGAGTGTCTAGAACCAACTTCATATGAAAAACCTAATCTACTTCAGGTTGTCATGGGATTGCCACAGGTGAAAGGACAGTTTTTTCCTCCCGCCACCCACCTGGCTGTCTTGTTTGCTACTGCACTAAATATTGAGGCTGCTCCTGAGGCATCTCATGAGACCTCTGGGGAAGTGGCAGTAAGCTGAAGGGCATGGATCCCTCTCTAGGACAACAGAAAATCAGCTGAGAACAAGACAGAAACACTGCTAATGCCCAAAGGCAAGCTGCAAGCAAGTTCCTTGTCTGGAGACAGGTACAGCCTGCTTATCTTCAAGTTATGATCTCCAGCCTTCAGAAAACTCAGGTGCACTGAGTTGTACCTGGCATATATGTTTTATATTGCTTTTGCAGTGATAATATACTCTTTCTGACTTGAAATGAGATTTGCGAAATACAAAAAGGCAGCTCTGGAGAAGAGTTATCAAAACACATTGCTGTGCTTTTCTTATTTCCAAACACTGAGTAACATTGATATTACAAGCAAGGAATCCAAAACAGGGAACTGAGCAGACAGGAGAGTTGGAAACAGCAAACACATAGCAAGTTCAGAAATGCAGAAGTTTATCCTAATGCTCACCCATACTCTAGCGTTTCAAGAAGCCTGAACACTTTGACACCAGTTGAACAGCCTTGGCCAGCCAGACTGTTTGATGTCGTGTTGGCGCTGTGCCAAAGCCAGGCCGTGCAGGAACGCTGCCATTGTTTTCTGATCAAAGCAAGCCCTAATGGTAATTAGCCTGAGTTGTGGTCTGACAGGTTTTCCTCCCTCAACCATCACTTCTCTACATTGTCACCAGCTCTTTCTCGAGCTGTCGCAGTTTGATATCCTGCTGGATTAAAGCATGGTCAGACTTTTATTTCAGATTATAAGAACTGATTTTCATATATATTCTGCTATGCTTGGGAAGGAGGCAGGAGGTTGTGAGTCTATTATGGCAGTGCAGAAAAGGTTGCTTTCCTCAGGGTATGGTGATTTTCAGTTTCTGGCGGCTCCAATGATATTGCAAGAGAAAGAGGAAGCAGGAGAGCTTTAGCGATTTTTGGATTAAGCGCTTGTGCAGCTTAATAGTTAAACGTTTCTTTAAAACTAAGCATATGCTTATGTTCCTTTCTTAAAGGACAGACATGGAGCAACTGTGGCTATAGCAGGATACAAGTGGGTTATCCCGGCAACCCATTCAGGCATCCTGCACAAGATGTGATGCTATGCATCTGTAGTAGTAGTAGTTCTGTACACTAATAATCATTTTTGCTTTCACATATAGTAAAAGGGTCTTATAATGTCAAACAAAAGTAAAACTGATTAGATATTATGAAATCAAACATCAAATGCTCACAAAATATAACTCCACTGATGGCAACTGAAGTACGACAGAGTTAAGTAACTTCATAACTAGAGTCTCAATTTTCTAGCGCTAGCTTCTCTGCTCAGATGTGGCATAACCCATCATAGAGCACTTTACAGAGCACTTACAGAAAGTGTTAAGGGTTTATTCATTGCTACATTGCTTCAGAAGCACACATTGCTCACTGCAATCAGTGTTGCTGCTGCAATTCAGATTTCTCTTCTGTAGATTTTGATTGCAATTATATATGATTCAAACCAGAGTGAACGGGAGAAAATGCACCAGTCGATGATACTAAAGGCTGGATACTAACTCCTGAAGTCCCATCTACCACCTGTCTTTAAATCATTCAGTGTGGTCTAGCCCTTACTGTCTCCTTGGAAGCAAGGAAGCCAAACAGACTCTTCTTACAGTTTTTGAATAGCTGTCATCGGTTTAAAATGACTTAGCCTTAGTAGATATTCTGTCTTCACTTTATAGCAAATGGACCTGACCTAAATCAGTGAAGACAGATTCCCATCAAAGCTGTAGCAGACACCAGGGATGGATGAGAAGACTTAGAAGAAAACATCTATTTTAGATCTTTGTACAGCACAACTCAAACTGAATTTATTATAAAGTTCTGAAATGTCCAAATACATTTTACTGCCTTCTGGTTTCCAGATGGGTCTGCATCCAGAACATCAGAATACCACAAAAATGCTGCTTTTTTCCTGCTGCAATCAGAAGCAGCTGCAACAGAAGGCTATAGAAAAGTCTGATTCTTAGAAAATGCCCCTCTCTGTTTTTCAAAATAAAAGAAGTTCAGATAATTTGAGTAGACTTTGCAGGGGCATCCAAATGTTTAGAATTGCATTAGGATGCACATTTCAAGCCCTTGGAAGCTTATCCTTCACTAGCTGTTTGCTCCTAATGAGGGAATTGGAGTACTCCAGTGGGTAAAATTCAAGAGACAGGATTCTGGTGTAGCCCAGCTCTAATTTAATAGGTGGCTTTGCCAGTATCACTTAAATTCTCTGCTGCATAGTTTCATAGAATCATAGAATCATAGAATCATAGAATGTTTAGGGTGGGAAGGGACCACTAGTGGTCATCTAGTCCAACCCCCCTGCAGTGAGCAGGGACACTGCTGACTAGATCAGATTGCTCAGAGCCCCATCCAACCTGGCCTTGAGTTTCCCCACTGACCTTGGGAATCACGCTTCTAAAGCAGTTTACTGGAGTTTCAAGTTCGTACCCTTACTATTATTATTTTATTCACTGTAAACTTATGCAGCAGTGAATTTAACGTTTTTTGAGACAAATTATTATTCAGCATCCTATTGAAAATCCAGTAAAAGATGAGCATTTGGGCTTTAAACAGCAAGGTGTCAAGAGCCCGCAGGACTATCTGACTCTTGTGAAAGTCGAAGGTATATGATGATTTTGGAAGCTGCACAGCACCTTGCAAGATCAAGCCCTTAAGAAATTTTTTTACTATTTAAACTTCCATTGCAAAGCTATTGTCTGCCTTTCCAATTTGGCTTTGTAGTCCCTGTATTCAGCGGGTTTACACAGCTACATGTGCACATCCCATTCAAAACGCTTGCTGATGTCAAGCATACCGTATGGAAATACACATGCACATGCTCATGCATAAACCACATGGTGAGGTGCAGAAAAATGAAGGTGATTTTAAAGTTTTTATTTTTATCTGACTTTATGGAAAATTAAAAAACAAGACAAGATTATAATTTAACTAAGAATGCCTTCACTGATATTAGTTCCCTATATCTAATAAGAGGGGATAATATCTAAATGAATAAATATAAATAAGGGAAGAAGGTAAATATACAAGCTCTTGGGCTTATATGAAAATTGACTGATACTTGCAGCAACCCTGACTCATAATAAAAATGATTTATTTAAAGATTTATTATGAACATTGCAGGAAAGGAGATAACAGACATGCACCACTTTGTTTACAGTAAAATTTCCTGTAAATTAAAAAGAGTTCTTATTCTCTGTTTGGTTTTGATTTGGTACTGTACCAAGTATCTGTTTATAAAAGGAAATATGACAGTACAAAGTGTACAAAGTGAATTGCAAAAGAGATTAACGGTCAAGGTGAATTTGCTTTAAATGAAGTCCTAGCAGTGCAGACACTGTAGGTAAGGAACGTTGGTCTAAGAAAAATCCTTCAGGCACCAATACTGAGAGCTGAACTGCCTGAAATTCAGTCCAGAAAGCTATTCTCCAAACTGGGATCAGTGTTAGCCCCACTGCAAACTCATGGGTCACACTCGCAGTCAAAAGAATATAACCTTAGGTGCATGTCGTGCTTGAACCTCCCTAATCTGTGTGCTGTGCTGCAATGATCTCAACCCTAAAGAGCAGGGCTCACTAAATGCTTCTTTCTGCACTTTCTGAGGAACTTCAGCTACTGGTGATGTTAATCAGAAGTGGAGACCCTCAGCATGGTGCAGCAAGTGGACATCCTACTAGAGGGAAGGTGGGTTTGTTTTACTGAGGTGCCAGCACATACAGGAATGACCAAAGAGGCACATCAGTGAGAAAGAGCCTGAGCTGCTTTTAAAAAAAGCTTGAGGTGATGAAGAGAGAAGGCAGAAAAAAAAAATGTTGCAGAGCACTATGTAAAAGAAAATTATGACATAAAGTAGGTAGTGTGTTTCAAAGGGATTATGTCTTGAGGACTTTTTCCTGCAATCCATTTTTGCTGAGCTTTTTCACTTGTAATACTCCCTAAAGAGCCTATGAAAGAGTCTTTCTGAAGTCACATTTATGTGACAAAGTATGTTGCAACCTCAAATCGCCCAATCCCACAGAAAATCTCCTGGGAAGAGTCTTGGATGAAGGTAATGTATTCACAGTTGAAAAGGAATAATGAAAACAGACGTCACAGGTTTCATCAGAAAACTAGAAAACAACCTGTTTTGCAGAAGCAATTCACTTTGTTGAATTAGCCCTGGAGCCATCCTGGTGTCTCTAGAGATCAGAAAACCTAGACTAGGACTTCATGGATCTCCAAAGTATCCACCCAGGGAAAGGAAAGGTTTGTGGATGGAAGTGCTGGATCAGGGTCATACTCTTCATGTACATATGTAGGTGTACACATACAACAAAAGATTTACATGGATGATAAAATCCTGAAATTACTGACATTATCTAGAGGCCAGGAGTTACGCGTATTCATGGAGATTTCTCCCCATGTTCTGTTCTGAGATCCATTATTTGATATGTAGTGCTATGAAATTAATGCTGGGTTTTTAAAACCATGTAGTTAATAAAACCAATTTGCAGACAAGCCTGTGGATACAAGTTCAATACTTGAGAAGGTATGTTGGCACTCACCTGGGGGCACATGTTCGTTCATGATGACGAGCGATGCTGGTGTAGGCCTTCTTTTCCTGATCTGTAACATGCATAAACCAAGGAGAGTCATTAGGGGCCACGAACTGCCCCTCACCCAAAGCAAAGCAAAAAAATCCATCTGGTGCACTCCTGAGTGTAGACCAGGCAAAATGAAAAAAAAAAGAAAATATTTAAAGAACAGCAGCACATCACTGTCTTACTGACTGCTCATCTGATCTCACAGTGATCAGGGTCATGTTGGTGCTTGTACGTGGAAAGCAAAGGCACAGGGGAGAGCTTTCCAAAATACCTTTAGGATTTGCAATCAACTTGAATAAATTTTTGGACATGTACTGCTGACATGTATCAGTCATATCTTAAAATATTGACATTAAGCTTTGCTTCAGGAAAATTATTGCGGCAGTTTGTGAGTTTACGTGTGCAAATACCTAGTACTGTCATAGCTGTCACAAATAATATTGTAAGTGCACTTGAGAGTTGATATTGCATGTATGGCTTCCAATGAATTTATGGTATTTCTAAACTGTGGCTGGAGGTGTTACTACTGTTCTTTAACTTAAGAAAAACAATACTTAAGACTTTCAAAACAATATTTTCAAAGACCACTATGCAACAGATCTTCACATATCAATATATAATCCTGAATTTTATGCAATTCTTCTTATTCAGAGTTTATTTGGTTTGATACTTTTGTTCCATTAACACTGGTTGAACTACGTGATATTAGACACATTTGCACTGAAAGCTTTCTGTTGCTTCACTAAAGCCTCCAGGCTATTGATATTGTATTGAATTTAAGAGAGGGACTAAGAGTGTTTAAGCTAGAAACCATTCTAACACAAAACCTCAATGTCAGTGCATTTGTTCTTTTTTAGTTGCTGAGCCAACATCTGTACTTAGCTGGGTTCAAATTTTGCTTTCAGAGGTGTAAATGGAAAATTACATCATCAGGGTTAATGGGTTTATTCCAGATTAGCATAACTGTAGTTGACAGCAGAATTTACTACTTTAATTTCATCACACACCCACAGTGAAACTGTATAGTGCTTGGAATTAAACCCACAACATAAAAAAATGACTGCCCATAAATACTGGGCAGAATTTGGGCCTCAGCATTTCAAAAGCCATGGGAATTCCAGGAAATCCTAATCCTGTGGTTCTCACAGATTTCAGAAAAATATCAGAACACATCCTGCTTGAATTCATTGCAAGACTGCTCCCCAAGGTACAGACATCTCGGCAGCTCAGAAGTACCTATGGACAAAATGAAGACCCACAGCAATTCTCCCTTGCACCCTTCTAGTGTTTCTTCACTCAGTGGTCACTCACAGCTCATCATTTTCTGGCAAAGGCGGCTGCCTTTTAAGAGACACGACATCCGATTATTCAGGAAACCAGATACCTGTCCTAAAGGTGCAAATAATTTCATAGCTAATGGCACCGAACTGTCAAGGTTATGATATTCCCCTGGTATCATCTAAAACTAGACTTACCAAAATAGAAGCAAATGTCGAGAAGGACTTGCACTGAGAGAAATGTACTGGGTCACCTAATTACGATTTATCCAGCTTTTCACATAAGGTTCCCTGTGTCCTTCTTTATGCACATCTACGCATATCTGTACACAATAAGAAATATCTTTTCCTCCTTAGACATCTGTATTGCTATATATATTATAAGTACGTGTATGTTTTAGGAGTGAGTCAAAACCTAGAATAGCATACACATAAATTCCAATGCAGACATAAGTCAGGCATATTTCTACACGTATGTATTTTTCAAATATGTAAAACACTGTTACAATGACATAAAGAAGACTCTATAAAAATCATGAGAAATACAGGGGGTAACTGAAGTAGCAATTATTGCGCAAAATGTAACTCATATTTTCTTATGTTAAAATGAATGGTAAATAAGCTGTCTTCTGCGCAATATTTCCATTGGGTTGCTATTATCAGCTCCACATTTTGCTTTGTGTACAAATAATATACTTTAATTGATTTATTGAGAATGTGTATTCATGTGATGTGTATGTATTAGGGCACAAGTCCAGTTACAGAAAAGGCACAACAAATATGTACGAATAAATCTAGCCAAGGTAAAGAAGCCTTGTTCTGGCTAGAGGACGTATCCTCCTCCCTCTTTGGGTGTATCCAGACATCGCTATAACCTCCAGAGCATTTAAGCTATAGTTACACTAACATAAGTTAGAAAAGCATTTAGGCCACAAGTACTACCCAGTCTCACCCCACATCTTGCCCCCATTCCTACCCCATTCCCTCAAAACACCAAAAGAAACTCATCTTCCTTACCTGCTCAGCTGCCTCGGGATCTATTTGACTCTGAAACAGTGGCACAGCAAACTGTATTTTTTTAGGGCTGTTGGGCTCCATCGTGATGCTGAGGCGAGTCAGACCAGAGGATAGCCTGGAGCTGGAGACACGGTCTGCGCCTCTTGCCAGGCGCCCGCCCCACAGCCAGGCTGAGGGCTCCTCAGTAACAGCTGTAGCTCCCGACTTAGCACGGGAATCTGTGTGAGCCGAGCAACACCCTTATTCCACATCCACAGAGATGCCGCTGGCTTGGCTATTTTCTTTTTTTTTTTTCCCCTCTCCCCTCTCCTCTGCAGTCCTTCAGATCCTCTCAGCACAAAGCTGAAAGGAACAATAAGCTAATTGTGTACCAGTTCACTTCTACATATGCCAAGCATTCACTCAGAAGCTAATTGAAAATGCAATACTAGCATTGCATGGCCTGGAGCCCTGGGATTTGAAAAAGAGGATCTCTCCACCGTACATTACTAACTGGCTGCTCAGAAGTGCAATGCAAGCTCCCTCTGAGTATTGCTGATGGGCTCTTAATTATTGATGAACACAAATCAGGAAGTTTTCAGATTTTGGGGGTGGAGGTAGCGGGAGGGGTGGATGCAAGCTCTTTCAAATCCTTTTCTAAACCTCTTCCAGGAAGATTTTTTGATGACAATGCTGCACAGATGCCTACACTTTCATGAAGTTTATCTAGTGTGCTAAGTGGGTTTGCACCTTAGGCTGGGTTTGTAGATTTAGACTGCAATGTCTTCTGGTGGGCTCCATCTCACGTGTTCTCAGGTCCTGAGGACATCTACATTTAAGTCAGCTCTCTGGGCTCCCTCGTGCTAGACACACCAAAGGGCATTTCACCCAGTCCTAATTAAGTGGAATATAGTGATTACTAGAGATTACTTTCTCTCTCCATTAACCCTAGAAAAAAGTAAACTAGTTACCTCACTTTTAGACAGCTAAAGTTCAGAGGGCCAAATTCTACTTCAGGGTACAAAATCTGTGCCTTCTTCCAAGACTAGTAAAAAGAATGTGGTCAATCATACCAATAGTACCCTTTGGTGAATATAATTGATTTTCACTTTTCATTTCACCTTAATTCAAAAGAATTGTCTGAAACGATACACAGAAAACCACTGACTTAACCTACCTCTTTGCTTAGAGCACCTGACCACTGCCAAGCAGCACAGCAGAGGTCCTGTGACAAAAGTGTACTGGGTGCCAAAACTGGATCTCCAGACAGAAAATGCCCTAGAGCCAGTTCACAGGGCTATGCTGAAAGCTTAGCTCAAAGCCAAAGACTGTTGGGCCAATGTCCTGTTACATGCTACCAAAAATCGGGAAGGAGAAAATGAGGTACAGCAGGAAAACCCAGACTGGCCCAGCCCATCACAGAATGAGCTTTACCTGGGATGAGGCTACCTGCAGAGAGAAAGTGCATTTTGGTCAGGTTTTTGGAGGGCCTGTGAACTCTCTCAACAGGGAAGAGAAACACAACCAGCCAGAAGGAAGGGCAAACAGATGAAATTCATGGAAAGGAGCAACAACTTGAATCTGCCTCTGACGGACTGCAGGAAGGAAACAGAGAAGCAGCTGAATTCAGAGCTGAGGCTGGGCATCACCAAAACTCAGAAGGATTTGAAAATTTGTTTCTTGTTCAGGCCACTGAAGGCACCAAGGATTTTCACAGCGCATCACAGATTTATTCAGAGTCACTGAGTATTTGCCCACCTGTGCCAGTGGAGGAGGCAGGGAAGGAGCGGGAATCACAGTGAAGAGCAATGCACAGGCCCTACACAGCAGAATAAATCAGCACGTCAGGATGGAGTATTTGTTTGTCTTCGATTTATACAAATGAAAAACATATATTATCAGAATACCAGGCACACAAGCTAGTTGGTTTATGAAGAATCTGATAAAGCTCAGGAGGTGAAGATATACTAAAAGTTAAAGACCCAGTTGACTTAATGATCAAAAATAACTCCCAGTGAGGGCTGAAGTTTCCCTCCTCATCCAAATCAAAACTACTCTGTACTATAGTGGTTTCCAGCTGACGGCTAGTAGCTAATGATTTTCCTGATAGATTTATTGTGATAGTTTAGGTGGTATTAACTTAAATCGTAGAACCATGGAAGAGTCCCACTTGGAGGGGAACCAGGGGCCCAAGGTCAGGTTATCCTGGGCCTTCTCAGGCTGTCCCTTGAATATTTTCAGTGCTGAGGTGAAATGCTTTGTTTCATTTACCACAACAAATAAGAGACGCTCAGAATAGTGATGTCCAGTGTTTCATACAATCCTTTTTAAGCCTTCACTATTTCCACAAAGACAAACCATAATTTGCTTTATGGACTTCCACAGACAGTTAAGAGCCAGAGTGCAATAGCAGCAGTTCTGCTGGTGCAACTAAGAGCCCAAGACACCGAAGTAAGAAAGGCACACACTGCTTTCACTAAGGACAATTAGAGAGTTGTTTTCAGGACAGTCTGATTATCCAATTTCACCAGTCCTTCACGAACAGACATGCCGTTAATTTCAATGACAGCTTCAGAAACAGAGGATCTACGCAGGGATACACCTGGGGTGGGGAGGACATACACAGGGATCTGAAGCTGTGGCTTTTCTCTGATAAATTTTCATACTTGAAAGAAAATATTTTTTGTTTCCTCAGTCCCAGATAATGTGAGAAAAATGTTTTGCAGCTGCTATAACTATAATATATTTATTATATATTAATAAATAGTACATTTTAAATAGTGGGTTTCTCTATGAAAAAACTGTTTGCCATAAAAATCTATCATGGCTGTCTATGAATTAAATTCATGTATTAAATTATGCTAGAACTACAGTGTATGTTACTGTATTACAGGAGCTATAATTCTCGTTATAAAGGCTAAAAATTTCTTATGGTAACAAAGTCAGTTGAAAAAACTACATTCAGATAGTGAAAAAAATGTCAAAACCATTAAATGCTCAAAGGATTACAGAGGTGTGTTTCAGCTCTAGATTGCTGGGCATTGCTGTCTAAAGGACTCACGTCTCAAAGTTGGTGCTAGTAATAGTATCTGAGAAAAAAGCTCAACAGTCATATGAAGAAACAAGCCAACAGAAGCACTTCTTGGCAGGTTCGGAAGGGAGCCCAGCAACAGGGATAGGACAAGACACGAGGACAGATCCTTAATGGGGCTGCTACACCGACAAGGTGATGCGGACATCCTCGCCCTGCAGCTCTCCTCTCCATGCTTCTTTGGAGCTGGTGCCCAGCAACCTTCACATGTGCTGTGACAATAGAAGTATTTTTAAAATAGTGTAAGAGGCATATTTCAGAGCGCACGCGGGTATAGCATTTCAGGATTACTACATCAGCTCACTCTTACACCTAATTTGCAGCACTAGATGTCTCCGGGCAAAGTGTGCTTGCATTTTCTGTAGACTGCATCATAGTCTGGGGAAGAGCTGAAATGCATTTAAGTACTGCCAAATCCTTTTAGCTCATCTTCTGTTTTTAGTGCACTCCCCACAATGTTTCAAATTCCTTCATGATTCAGCTAAAACTATCATGGAAGAAAAAATAACAATAACTGTCTAAGATCTTTCCTTCCTATGTCATTCACTAGGTTCTGGTATGAAGCGCTGCCTTTTAATATATCCTACCATAGTGATGAGCCATCAGAGCACTCAACGGCACAGTTCCTGCCTGAGATATTTTTCCTCTTGTGTTAAGGGAGGTTTTTGGTTTTGTTTTTTTCCCAACCAAAGACAGAGGCTGCTGGGAAGGGAATTCAAGGGTCTCTGCATTCTCCTTACACAATTTCTGTTGTGGCTGTGTTCTGCCTCAGCTTCTCTGCTGTGGTCAGGGACAACGGCAGCATCAGCCTGGCAAGGAGAGGAGAAGAGAGCTGGAGCTGCTTGTGAAGCCAACCTGCATAATGCTTTGGGTGCTAATTTCACCAGTGCAGATGCAGAGAAGCATTCAGTTACAGTTCTCTGATCTGCCAGGCTACCTTCACAGAGCAAAGATTCAGCTTGGAATTGGCACTCCTTCCAGCATGTCTCTTAAGGCATAACTTTAATCCCCATTGCAGCCACTGATATGCCAGAACCTTTGCAAAGATGTGTTGACCCATGCTTTCCTCGGGCCCTGCAACTGAGACCTCTTCTCACACCAGCATCTCCTCAGCACACTGCTGGGCAGACCCAGCATCACTGGGGGAAGAAATGCTGCAGAGCACATTGCTTCCCAGCTGCTGCTCACCAGCTTTCTCGTACTGCCAAAAGGCACTTTAGCCCTTCTGCCCTTTTCTAACGAACTGACAAACAGTTTTTTCACTGCCTTTGTGCATACAGAGGCATCAGTTTCACAGCTCTTGGTGTTGGTCAAGGGCAGAAGGGAGGCAAAAAGCATGAAAGTTGGACACAGTCTTTGCTGTGCACACCATGTCTGTTCATGGACAGGCTTTCCTCTTGGGGTTCTACACCGAGCACCACTCATAGGTGCTAAAATGACATGCAAGCCTTCCAAGAATAAAAACCAAACATATTAAAAAAGACCCTCAAAGTTTCCTTTCAAAGTAGGTAAATACAGGTGTTGCAATCAGGATGGCTCCCACTCAACCGCTGGAAATGCAGTTTGCTATTCATATGCAGAAAATGTGAAGAATTTAAAACCTGCAACGGTGGGAGCATACAGAGCAGAGCACGTCTGTCTCGTGAGCAGTAAGTGCTGCTGCAGGCAGGTCAAGGAGAAAAACTGAAAGCATTGCTGAGCAGTGACAGGGTCAGCGGGGGCATTCAGCAAGAGCGGCCTGCCTAGTAACAGCCTAACCCAAACTTCTATCACTAGTACTCGTCCATCGAACACCAGGCTTGGACATGCTTACGTACTAATTATATACATGGATTCATAAAGCCTAGATAAGTAAAAAATACAGGTATTTCTATTTATATCATAGAATCATAGGTTGGAAGGGACCTCAAGGACCTTCTAGTCCAACCTTTCTAGGTAAGAGCACAGTCTAGAGAAGATGGCCCAGCACCCTGTCCAGCTGAATCTTACAAGTGTCCAATGTGGCGGAGTCAACCACTTCCCTGGGGACATTATTCCAATGGTTGACTGTTCTCATTGTGAAAAATTTCCCTCTCAAGTCCAACCAAATGTCCCCAAGAGCAACTTGTGTCCATTCCCCCTTGTCCTCTCCATGTGACTCCTTGTGAAAAGAGAGTCTCCATCTTCTTTGTAGGTAGCCCT